AACACCAGTGCGGGAATACTCGATTCACTTGAGCAGAAGCAAAGTGAGTGAGGAGGAAGTAAAGGGTTAATTCCCTCAGGAACACCAGTGCGGGAATACTCGATTCACTTGAGCAGAAGCAAAGTGAGTGAGGAGGAAGTAAAGGGTTAATTCCCTCAGGAACACCAGTGCGGGAATACTCGATTCACTTGAGCAGAAGCAAAGTGAGTGAAGGAGGAAGTAAAGGGTTAATTCCCTCAGGAACACCAGTGCGGGAATACTCGATTCACTTGAGCAGAAGCAAAGTGACTGAAGGAGGAAGTAAAGGGTTTGGATGCCACAGTGGCTACTGGTGACACTAAGCACGTCTCCCCTCCATGTACTGTGGTACGTATAGGTTGGCAGGAATGGAAAATAGACTAGATTTAGGGCACATAACAGCTTGTGCTACTTAGTCTCACATACTCAATACCCGACTACTCCACTTCGTGCCTACTTCCATGTCGGCTCGGCCATCAACTCGCCTCACCCGTTTTCGATGTAGAAGAGAGATAACTGCAATTTTCAAGAATATCTTCAGCGGAATTTTATCGACGTCCGTTGCGGTGGGTAAATTATCAGCAGCGGGAGCATAAATTTTTCGACTTTTTTGCCACAGATAGATGGTCTCGACTTGTTAGGACGGGGACCGCCTCGAGAATTCCCCGAGGATCTCGATGTCTCGCTATGGATTATTACTTACAAAAAGCACTGAAGCTGCTGCTTTTGCAAGATGACCCGCAAAAAGAGCACTTCTTAAATTACACGAAGATCATATTGAACAAATAAGGGTGCCACATGGAGTTTCACATTGTGACGACACAAACTATATCTTAGCTAACGGCTAGAGATGATGCAGCACATCCACGTTGAACCAGTTAGGCAGCGTTCAGGCTTCGCGACGGCGGCGCATCGGTGGCGCGTTCAGGCGATCGATTGCTCGAGCGTACGATCGCGTCGCTAGCGTACGAATGTGTAGCGCGACTGATTAGATCGCGCTCCAATGCAAAAATCGACTGGACGGATGCTAACTCACAGCCATTTTCGTTTACTTTTTGCTTCTTTCTCCTCCCGTTTGCTTCTCGCTTGTTCCTCTTCCTGCCACTATTTTTCTAATCTGTTTCTAATGTTATTATGCTCTTTTACCTGTAACACAGTGAAAATTTTCAGATGCATTGAAATTTTTCGGATAGACGGCCGTGTTGAGCGCGCACTTTATCTATAACTGAGGTAGGTTTTTCAGGTTCATTGTGTTTTGGTTATCTTTTTGCTGAACTGCTGAACTGCCAACCAAGCTAAACACAGTAATGATTGACGAGAGATCAAAACAGGATAACCAAAACTACAGGAACTGAAATACGGCCACCTCAAAAAGGAAAAGTACGCGGCGGCTGAAGCATTGGCCGTTCATCGCGAAAAAATTTCGAATGTTATCAATGTACGCTGGAAAATTCATAGCGTTAAAAAGTAAATAAGCATAATAACCGACAATACTGAGAACAGTTTTTGGAAAAAACGAGTGGCAGGAAGATGAAGAAGTGCTAGTCAAGACTTTCTCTCAGCCTGTACAAGCGCGGCCGGCTCTCCGTCGCCATGCCCAAGAGGAACTATCGTTGCTGGGCAATTCCCCTGTGGTGATCCCTAGGGGGGCAGATCAAAACAACGAGACTACAAGTTTCCCGAACATTTGCCCTACCGAATATTGTGACCCGGAAACATCCCGTTGTTTTCTGTTAATCAATGCGCGTTCTATTGTAAATAAGATTCCTGACCTATACTTCCTACTTCGGCAGATGCCTCGAGCTGTGTTTGTTACTGAAAGCTGGTGCAAGCCCAACTCGATACATGATGCCACTTTAAGTTACGACTCTAGGTATGAGGTATATCGCTGCGATCGCGAGAGCAGTAGAGTTGTGGTGGGGTTTTGGCCCTTATTCATAAAGATGTTCCGCACTCCTTCCTCATTGAAAAAGACTTCGGTACGTCAATACAAGCATTAGCACTAGAGTTTGATACTCGTGATGGCAAGCTTATAGTAGTCCTTGCCTACCGTAGCCCATCATGTTCTTCCGTAACCTTTTCAGAGTTCATAGCTTTCCTTCAGGAGCTTTTAGAAGAATTCAGTGGCCATATTATCATACTTGGAGATTTTAATTTTCCACTGATCGACTGGGTCACTATGACCCACAGAGGTAATATCTCCACTACGTCGTCTCTATCTTTCCTTACTTTTGCGAAATCATTCGGCCTTGAACAAATGGTTACTAGCCCCACCCATGGTCTCAACATTTTGGATATCGTTCTAGTCTCGGATCCAAGGATTCTTGAGGGCATGTGCATCCTTCCCCCCTTTAGTACATCTGATCACAATGGTATCGGATTCAACATCGCTGGTTTCCATCCAATCTCCGCACACTCAAATAAATACCGGTGCTTCTCTAGGTGCGATTATGGTTCAGTAATATCTGCGCTTTCCAAAATTGACTGGGTTGCATTAAACAGTGCTTCTTGTGACTCAAACATGTTTTATACCGAACTTCTAAACATATGCCACAGCCTAATAGATGAGCATGTTCCGCTTTGCATGAGCAGCTCGAAGAAAGCTGATAAATTCCCTAAACGAGTCTACTTCCTTCATTCTCAAATCAAACGTTTACATTCCCGCAGCTCCGAGAGCAATCGCAAGCTAGCTACATATACAAGGAGGCTAAAACGCGCACTTCTGCGGCATCCAATTACGAGTGGAAAAGAGATTAGCACTGTGCAAGAATAGTATTCGGTTCTACAGCTATTGTAGGAAGAAACTAAAGCTTGCTGACAGAATACCCAATATGATCGGTCCCGATGGGATTGCTATTAAAGACGATGCTACCAAAGCTAACTTTTTTGCTGACTATTTTCAGTCAGTCTATAAAAAGTCTTGCACTTCTAGTCCCAATTTTACCACTACAACACAGAAGTTTTGGATTGGGTGGACATATCCAGCGATGTAGTTTATAAGACGCTACGTAAACTTCCGAATAGAGTTTCTACCTCCCCCGACAACATCCCCTATATTTTTCTGAAGAATACTGCTCTTGCGATTTCAGCGCCTCTAACTATTTGTTCATAGCAGTTTTTACTTCACGGCGATGTCCGGCCCAGTCCTCGTCGAAGGAATCGGGCTAAGTCAGACCAGTTACCTAAAAAGGGTTGTCAGAATACGTTACTAATGCAGGCCCATTGCCTAAACAAGCTCATTAGTATAAGTTATGGAGCTTTTTTCTCTGCCGAAAATCAGCAGTATTTGTGATGGGAAGAACAAGTTGCTTCGGCGATAAACCCAACGCGGCGTATTACATTACGCGGCAGCAGATCCAATATCTCGGCTCTGATGTCTACGATCCCCATTTGGCAAAGAGAAGTCGATAAGGGGAATTATGTCTCAGTATGTTTTATAGATTTTGCCAAGGCCTTCGATTCCGTTTCGGTTCCTCTGCTTGTCAAGAAGTTGGAGCGTACGTATCAAGGCCGTCTTCTAGCATGTTTTCTGAACTGCGCTTTCTCACTGGTAGAACTCCAGTCCGTTCTTATTAACCAGTCTCAATCCTATGTATATCGAACGCCGAGTGGTGTACCTCAAGGCACGTGCATTGGGCCGCTTATGTTCATTCTATATGTAAATGACCTCGTTGATATTATACCGTCGGGTACTTTCTGCAGTTTATACGCTGATTATTTGAAACATCTTTACTAATGAACGATATCATAAAGTTGCAGGATGCTCTAAGCTGTGTCGAGAGCTGGTCCATGCAGTGGGACTTAGACATTTCTGTCCAGAAAACTGCGATTATGGGTTTAGGTAGAACTCATCCAGATTTTCCATTTACTATAGGCGGAAGGCGACTGGTTCGAGTTAATCAAATACGTGATCTTGGCGTTGTTTACAGTGACACTCTAGATTTTAGTAGCTTCATACACGATCTGGCAGCTAGAGCAAGGTTCAACCCACTTTATCCTCAGGGCGCTTAAAACGCGGTGACCGCGCTCTGCCTTTATTCGCTTGTTTAATCTTATGTCAGGGCCAAATTCCTAGAGTACTGTTTCACCCATCTGGTCCCCGTACAAACAAACACTAATTGATGTGATTGAGCGAGTACAAAAAAGTTTCACTTATCGATGCTATATGCGTAAAGGCATAACATCCTTGTCATATAGCCAGCGACTTCATAACCTCAGTGGTGAAACTTTGGAGTTTCGGCGTAAGCTAATAGATTTTGGGTTTATGTATAAGCTTATCACTGATGAAATTGACCTTAAATTAACAGATATTTTCGAGATGTCCTCCACTATTGGATTATCCAGAGGGCATCCCTATCGCTTGCGCCCTGATAGACCTAGAACTCGGGCTTACGAAGGTTCTTTTCCTGTGAGAGTGGTGCCCCTCTGGGAATAGCCTGGATTGTGAATTTTTCAAATGGAGACGTTCTTGCACATTTCAGGTTCATCTAGCCAGCTACATGAAGCACCAGTAGCGTATTTCGGAAATGAGCATTTTGCCATGCAGTTTTCGGATCTCTCAGTAATGTTTTTGTACAAGTGACGACAACCCGATCCCCTAATTTTGTAGCGCCTAATTTTGTAGCACGCAGCCCCCCATTTCCTCTCATGTTGATTTTTTTCTTAATTGCCTTTGTCTACGATTTATCTTCTTTCCCGTCTGTTCCTGTCTGTAATTTTTTTTCCCTTGTCAGTGGACGCCTGGATTCAGCCATATTCGTGAAACTCTTCGTTTTTCGTTTTCTTTTTCTTGACTTCTTCAATCTCTCTCTAGTTTGTAACTGTTTTTTTTTTGCTGAACCTATGTCTGTACCCTCCAATTCCTTTCCTCCCTGCCCCCCCCCCTCCCTTTTCCCTGCTTCGCTTGGTCAATGGAGACGATTGGCGGACCTACTAAGTTGGTATCCGGGGCCATCCGCACAATGGCCTGCGATGTTGGCGGCGCATCGCCCTTTCCTCTCCAATCTTTGGCCGTCCCCTCACCACTCCCCCTACCCAATTTTTCTGTACCTTATTATATCTCCTTGCATCTCTATTGCAATTTTTTTTTAGCTCCACTCTTGATATGTTAATTATTACTTTATTAGTTGCAATAGTAAAATACATAAATAAAATAAAACTCCAAAAAACAAACGAGAAGCTAACGGGAGGATAAAGAAGGAATGAAGTAAGAATAGTACCCGTCACCGAGTTCGATTTCTGCATTAGAGCGCGATTTAATCAGCGCTACGCAATCGTACGCTAGCACTGGGGACGCGATCGTACGCTTGAGCGATTGACGCGATCGTACGCTGAGGCGATTGACGGCGATCGTACGCTCGAGGCGATCGAAAGTAGTCCGTACGCCTCGAGTGATCGATACTATTCGTACGAGCCCGAGGCGAACGAAGTAAGTCGTACGCGGGCACCGATTTGCTCGATACGTCGAGCTGAAGTGCCGCCGTCGCGAAGTCTGAACGCTGCTTAGATCTGATGAGAATACCACGTATGTCGCCGGCGCGTGATTCTCACAACCACTACACATGGAACTCACCGTCCGACAGAGATGAGCACTCGAGTTCCATCTGCGTCGACCGTCGACTTACCCGGGCGACGTGGGACATCAGCGGCTATTGAAGGATGATGTCGACGATCTTCGGCGGCCGACGCTGCTGAGACGCTGGCCGCCATGCGTATTTCTGGATACAGCAGCAGTTCGCTAAAATAGTCAACAATCAAAGGTAGTACAAAGATCTTCCAGAGATTGCGCATGTTCGTATTCCAGAAGTTTTCCATTGGTGATGCTCTATGTTTCACGAAGGTCTTCCAGGTCATGAAGAGTTTTTCAAAATGGTTGCTTTCATGTAGGGTGTCATCCATGGACTTGAAATACATTTTCGTTGGAAACATTTTACATTTTCAGAAATGTCAAAAGAAGTGAAAAGTATAAAGTTTGGGATTGTTTCCGCAAATTCAGAAATTGCAAAAAAAAAAACGAAAGTATTTACTGAGTAAGGGCATTCAAACTACCTGATCCTATTCTGTAGGTCTGCAAAACTGAGTTTTAGCGGCAGTTAGTGAGGCAGTTTTGACGGTTTGTAATGAAAAGGGGCGTGTTTTCATAGGTGGCGAATTCATTCAGGTACCCTCCCTCGCTGGTCGGATAGTAGATGGTGAGGCGAGTTTTCGTTTGTATTGTAAAGGGAGGATCTATGGTTTAGATCCCCTAAGATCTTTTTGAACACATTTCATGGGGAGAAAGGATTAGGAACACAGGAATATGGAACTTGTAAAAACTCAAATTTGGTTACCGTGGGCAATCGAACTTTTACCACTACTTCGCCCCTTTTTGGCACTGTTCGGACTGCTCTGCAAAATTTAATCGCAATTTTCAGCCCCATCCTAGGGACCTCCACTTTAGCGAAGACCGTTTTGGAAAGGCGCTGCTCGAAGTGGAAGACTGCCCTTGTCAGGATGCTTCACATGACTCTTCTTGAAAACAAAAGCAGCTGATAGCAAAGGAGTTTCTCCCTTGGGAAATAATGGAAAACACTGTCGCAGGTCCAGCGATTCAAAATTTGCAGGGATGTAATGGACAGATTATAAGAAAGGCAGAAGGAGAGCAGTGGCAAGAGGTGGCGAGACCAAGAGCGCGGACCGGTGATGGGGCTCGATAAACACAATAAAGAGTAACCAAGTATACTAATTAATCAAGTAGCTGCGTATGAGAAAATAAACTAGATAAGTTGTCAAATGACTACAGGGCACATCATTGGTTGGGGATTTTAGTCGACTCTATACGACCCCCCCCCTTTTTTGGGAGTTGGTACGACCCCCCCCAGCCCTCTGTCCTTCCTCATCGAATCGAGCCGTCGAGGGTGGGGGGGGGAGGGGGCATATAGTACTTTTTACCAAAAATTTTGCTGTCGAGCAGGAGGAGGGGGGACATACAGTACGTGAAACAGGAAAATCACCAAAAGTCAACCGCCACTCCCACAACGTAAATACGACCCCCTCCCAAAATGATCAAATACGACCCCCCTCCCTTTACAACGTCCATGAAGCGAGAAAAATCAACTATCAAAATAAATTTTTCTCAGCCCAAATACGACCCCCCCTGGCGACCAAATACGACCCCCCCCCCCTATTGGGGATTCCCCAACAACGATGTGCCCTGAATGACTAACGCAAGTTATCGGAAGCCGCAGATTGATTTTCGGAGTGTGCCGATCACGTGGCGCACTCTAGACAAACCGACCTCACTCTCAAAACCAACATAGACTTTCGTCTTGGATCGGAAAGATCAACTTCCTGCTGCACCAGGGTGTCCATAAAGGGAGATTTTTCCAATTCCTCCCCTCCCCCCCCCCCTATACTGAAAACGCAATAGAGGTCCGAGTGTCTGATGGTATTTCGCACAAAAATGCACCGCCCAGAAATTTTTACCCTATGATTTTTCGGAGTTTCATCTTTGTTGTATAGTCGAGTTCGCTGCGGAGAAGGGGGCATGTCAGGGGGATGACTTTGTCGCAGAGCCAAACTCTTTCTCCTCCAGAAGCGAGCAAGTGACGAAACTTTATCATATCGTTCTATCACTCGTTTTCTAACAATTGTTGTCGCATACCGACAAACTGCAGAGAACGGGTTGGGCGTTGTATCACACTCATACTGCCTGACACGCCCCTTCATCCACAGCGAACTAGAGTATACAACAGCATGGTGCAAATATCATAAGAGGACTTGTTATTGGAGGTAAAAGCTACAACTGCTGGCACACTTTTTTAATGATACAACATAATCCATAACCCATGCGGCATCATTTGAACACTCATTAATGGAAGTTACTCTCTGGGGTGAACAACACCTGGGTACTGGGTAACAACAGCAATCCTTGCTTGGCCACTGCTTGTTGTTCGTATTTGTTTCATGGACAGAAACCTTTACAGAAGTGCAATTATCTTATCACAGAAGTAACCCCTCTTTATCAAACTTGAAGAGAGTGGAAAAGCTTATATAAGAGTAATCAAAATATTAACAAGCAAACGCATAGTTTGGTGAAAGAAATAAATGGTTTGTCCAATGGTGTATAGGACATTTCAAGGGGCTCAAGGGACTACTATCCTCCACGCACTTATGATTTTATGGGCGACGATTCGTAAAATTATGCCATCCGCGAAATCAAAGGATGCCAACCGCGAAACAAAGGACGTTAGCACTTCAAGCGATAAAGAATAAATTCTTCACCATTGATAAATCACTTTTAGGATGCGGCTCACATTCTACTTCCATTCAATATCGTGGTGGCGATGTGGTCTATAAAATGACAGCCGATGTACTAATCAGTAGTTCTTGATATCCCAAACGAATCTGGCACCAATTTACCGTCGCGGAAATCAGAAGCTTTTGTTGGCCTTGGCAGATGCCGATACGGGATATGACCCCAGACTGCGCGCGGTAAGCGTGAAAACTGTCGCTACAACCACACCTTTCCATACCAGGCATAGTTGTCCGTTTATCCCATTGCGTACCGCGTTGCATGCAATGGTGAAGCACTCTTAGTGTGAACTCATTTAGCATTGTTAGATGACTGGGAAAGAGTAGGTATATTCCTGAAGTCGTCAGGGACAAAATATGTGTGGGGGAAATTGCGAGATTGAATAATAGCTATGTTGCTAGCATTTTTCGAGTAATACCTCAACTATTACATTTTTTAATTAACTCTCCTTTACCAATAAAACCGAAATCCTGCTTAGTATACGACTGAAAAATTGTAAAATGGTGTGAGTGAACAGCTTCTAAGCACACTGCGTCACTTTTTCAATTCCTCTTAATTTTATCAAGCTTTTTTGGCTAGTTTCGCATTTTTCGGCTTTACTTTTATCACGTAACAATATTGAATCCCCTTTAGCATACGTATACTTATAAAAGTGATGCATAATACGATGTGTGTGCAATATTTTTATGTTATATGTATAAGATAAAAATCTTATGTTTTTATACTCAGCGCGCCAGAAATCGCGTCGCGCAAATACACTGCGGTACGCAATGGGTTAAACTGGAAGACGACAATCAATTGTGCCACTTTCCCCATCCTGTAAGATCCCCACCTTGAACGCCACCTTAATTTCTTCTCCGGTACGAACCCCAAAACTTCCTTATTCCATTATAACCCGCTTCTCCCGAATTTGCCTGTTTTCCCGCAGTACAATCCCTCTAAAGACCACCAGTTCTCTCTCTAAATAAACTGATGGCGAAGGAAGGTGGGCTGGGGGAAGGGAAGTGGGACTAGTCCTCTCCAGTGAAAAAAATCAAAGTAAGTTATTAGAAGTTGTGGGTGCGGCATTGTAGATATGGCTGGGAACCAAATTGTCTCCTCGGCTCAGCAGAAACTTCAAGGCCAGATTCGATCCCTGTCACCAAATATGACCATCCTCTTAACGGACCAAGTACGGCTCCCCCTCACGACCCGATGAATTCTCTCAAAAATGCTGTACCCTATTTGTGAAGCCGCTACCAAAGGACAGTTTAAGCAAAAAGTTTGGCAGAGTTCCCTAGTCTCTCGGG